AGACACAGTCTTATTATGTTGCCCTTGGTAGAATGCCGTGGCATCATAGCTCACAGTAGCCTCAAACTCTTGGGCTGAAGTGAGTAGCTGGGACTATAGGTGCCCACCACAATGCCCAGCTTTTTTTTTTTTTTTCTTAAGTGATGGAGTCTTGTTCTTGCTCTGGCTGGTCTCAAACCTGTGAGCTCAGGCAGTCCACCTGCCTCAGCCTCCCAGAGTGCTAGGATTACAGGAGTGAGCCACCACGCCTGGCCTATAATTTTTAATGACTATTTCATTCAGTATTTGCCAAGTGCTTTATTATCATTGTTTCAATACAAAGAGCAACAGATTAGCTTATTTTAAACATCTGTCTAATTTCCTAAGTTGGTTTTTTTATCTCCAGATAGGTAAAAAGATTACCTATTTTTCTTCATTTATTATCAATCCCAGCTCTCAAACTTTAGTTTCTTAAAGTAACTCAGAAGCCAGGCTCAGCACCTGTAGCACAGTGGTTATGGCTCCGGCCACATACACCAAGGCTGGTGGGTTCGAACCTAGCCCAGGCCAGCTGAACAATAGTGACAACTGCAACAAAAAATAGCCGGGTGTTGTGACAGATGCCTGTAGTCCCAGCTACTTGGGAAGCTGAGGCAAGAGAATTGCTGAAGCCCAAGAGTTTGAGGTTGCTGCGAGTTGTGACATCACAGCACTCTACCCAGGGTGACATAGTGAGACTTTGTCTCCTCCCCCCCACCAAAAATAAATAAATAAGAAGCCATTTTAAGTTACTAAATTGAGAACTTGTCAAATTATTTTGTTTCTACATTAGTAAAATTTTGGATATTGTAATTGTATGTACCAAAATTGCACTAAATATTTGTGTGTATAAGTCTAAATATATATGTATATGTGTAGAAAGTATTTTAGAAGGGTATTTTTAGATAAAGTATATACCTCCCAAACTTATTTTTATAACAATAAATAAAAATTACATCAACCAAACCAAACCAACAAACCAAACATGTTATCAAACAAAGTCTGTAACAGTGAACGCTAACAGTTTTAACAGTGGTTATTGGGTAAAATTGCTTGCCATTGTTTATCTGTATTTTTTAGTTTTTTTACAGTAAGCATGTATTAAATTTGTTTTTTAATTAAAGAATATAGAAAGTTCAAAAAAAATAAAAATAAACAAACAAAAAACCTTGGCTTGGCACCTGGGGCTCAAGTGGCTAAGGTGCCAGCCACATACACCTAAGGTGGCGGGTTCGAATCCAGCCCAGGCCCGCCAAACAACAATGATGGCTGCAACCAAAAAAAAAAAAATAGCTGAGCATTGTGGCGGGCCCCTTTGTCTCCGCAACTTGGGAGGCTGAGGCAGGAGACTCGCTTGAGCTCAGGAGTTGGAGGTTGCTGTGAGCTGTGATGCCACAGCACTCTACCCAGGGGGACAGTTTGAGGCTCTGCTCAAAAAAAAAAGAAAAGAAAAGAAAAGAAAGTTCAAAAGCTGTCTTTAATAATGCTTTTGTAGTTAAAGGCAATACATGACAACAATGCATTTTGTTGTCAAATGTGCTCTCTGGGCATCACTGGCATACTAAGTTAAAACTAGGGTACCTGAATATAACAAAAACAAAAACCCACCAGGAGACAGGAGATCTGAATTCTGGTCTTAAGCAAATCACTAGCCTCTCTAGGTCTGTTTTCTGATCAGGATAAATGAAAAGAAGGAAATTCTAGGCATACTTATTGAATGTATGATTTTGATATCTTCTGCCATAAATTTGATAACCCTGAATATTCTGTTCAAACATGATAGTTACCAGCCAGTCACAGTGGCTCACGCCTGTAATTCTACCACTTGAGGAGGCTGAGGCAGGTAGATCAGCCTGAGCAAGAGAGACAGTCTCTACTAAAAATAGAAAAACTAGCCAGGCTTTGTGGTAGGCACCTGTAGTCCCAGCTACTCAGGACACTGAGGCAAAGGGCTCACTGGAGCCCAAGGCTTTAAAGTTGCTGTGCACTAGGACACCACAGCACTCTACCTAGGGCACAAAGTGAGACTCCATCTCAAAAAAAAAAAAAAGAGAAAGACAGAAAGTACTATTCCTGAAAGTCCCTTAAAGCCAAGATCAAGAAATTAGGTATCATCTGTTTCTCTTAGAGAATTCTTGTCTAGCAGGATCATATAGTCAATGTGATAAATGTAAAGAATTACTTTTACCATCTTAAGTAGCCAAATATTTATTTCCTGCTTATGAATGCACCATACACTAGAAATATATGTATAAATAAGATAGTCTTTATCCTTGAGTAGTAACTGTCTACATAGGTAATATAATAATGTGAATGTGGTAGTTTTGAACCACAGATACACATTAGAATCACAAAATGACTGTATTAAAATTTAGAACTTGATGGCAGCCATTGCTCATTGGGTAGGGGACCGGCCACATACACTCAGGCTGGCAGGTTCAAACCTGGCCCGGGCCAGCTAAACAACAATGACAACTGCAACAACAACAACAAAAAATAGCAGGATGTTGTGGTGGGCACCTGTAGTCTCAGCTACCTGGGAGGCTGAGACAAGAAATCACTTGAGCCCAAGAGTTGGAGGTTGTTGTGAGCTGTGACACCACAGCACTTTACCAAGGGCAACATAGTGAGACACTATCTCAAAAAAAAAAAAAAAATGTAGAACTTAACTCTAACCAGATGCCTAGAAAAAAAAATCTAATGCCATAAAGAAAATTAAAAGATAAGCCTCAAACTCGGGAAAAATGTAAAGATTTGTATGTGGCATATATAAGTAAGTGCTGTAAATTGGGGGGAAAAATCCAACTAAAGATTTTCACTAATGTGAATCTGATTTTATCTACTTGATTTTGTATAGATTAAGTAGAGATAAAGTATGTATAGATTAAGTATGATTTAAAAAAAAAATCCAAATAAAGAAAAAGAAAATTCAGGCCTGGCATTGTATCTTATGCCTGTAATCTCAGAACTCTGGGAGGCCGAGGTAGGAGGACCCCTTTAGCTCAGAAGTTTGAGACAGCCTGCGTAAAAGTGAGACCCCTGTTTCTACTAAAACTAGAAAACTTAGCCAGGCATTGTGATGGGTACCTGTAGTCCCAGCTATTCAGGAGGCTGAGGTAGGAAGATCACTTGAACCCTAGAGTTTGAGGTTGCAGTGAGCTAAACTGATGCCATGGCATTCGTGCCTGGACAACAGAGTGACGCTGTGTTTCAAAGAAAAAAATTCAAAAGAACAATTGCTCACAAGATACAAATATACATTGCATAGCCCACCAATTCATGAAAAGATACTGAATTTTGTAATCAAGGAATTTCAAATTAAGTATCAGTGAAACACCACTTTACAGGCAACAGCTGATAGAATATAAATTTCTATAAACATTTTTTTTTTATATCAGTTTTTGGCCAGGGCTGGGTTTGAACCTGCCACACCACCTCCAGCATATGGGGCCAGAGCCCTACTCCTTTGAGCCACAGGCACCGCCCATAATTTTTTTTTTTTTTTTTTTTTTTTGAGACAGAGTCTCGCTTGTCACCTTTGGCAGAGAATGCTGTGGCATCATAGCTCACAGCAACCTCAAACTCTTGGGCTCAAGTAATTCACTTGCTTTTGCCCCTCCAGTAGCTGGGACTACAGGCCCCTATCACAACACCTGCCTATTTTTAGAGATGAGGTCTCACTCTGGCTCAGGTTGGTTCTATTAACATTTTAGAAATTATTTTATGATCTTTGAAAATTGGGCTGGTGCCGTAGCACTGTGGTTATAGCACCAGCCACATATACCCAGGCTTGTGGGTTCGAACCCAGCCTGAGCCAGCTAAACAACAATGACAACTGCCACAAAAAGATAGCTAGGACTTGTGGTAGGTATCTGTAGTCCCACCTACTTGGGAGGCTGAGCCAAGTAGTAGTAACCATAAACTCTTCGCTTAAGCCCAAGAGTTTGAGGTTGCTGTGAGCTGTGATATCACAGGACTCTACTAAGGGCAACATAGTGAGACTGTGTCTCAAAAAAAAAAAAAAAAAGAAGATTGACCATGTTTATTTCTTATGAGTCAGCCATTGCATTCCTAGGCATAATAGCCTAGAGAAACTCTTACAGACTAATACCAGGGAACATCAGAAGAAAGAATGAATAGCAATGCTTATAATATTCCCAGTTGCTTTAAGAATAGGTGGCAACTAGCTTGGCGCCCATAGCTCAGTAGTTAGGGCATCAGCCACATGCATCAGGGCTGACAGATTCGAACCCGGCCCAGGCCCGCTAAGCAACAATGACAACAAAAAAATAGCTGGGCTTTGTGGTGGGCACCTGTAGTCCCAGCTATTTGGAAGGCTGAGGCAAAAAAAAAAAAATAGGTAGCAACTAAGCATTCAAGTTCAACTATAACCAATTAACTAATCCAAAACCTGAAAACAATCTAAATGACCATCACTGGGAAAATGAATAAATTATATAATCACACAGGAAAATATTATACAATTGTGAAAGTAAATGATGTACTATATATAATGGGTGAATCTTTTTTTTTTCTCGAGACAGACTCTCCTTTTGTCACCCTTGGTAGAGTGCCGGTGGTGTCATAGCTTGCTGGAAAGTAATCCCAGCACTCTGGCAGGCTAAGGCAAGTAGATCACCTGAGCGCAAAAGTTCAAGAACAGTCTGACAAGAGTGAGATCCTATCTATACTAAAAATAGAAAAACTGGGCTCAGCGTCTGTGGCACAGTGGTTACAGCGCCAGCCACATACACCAAGAGTGGCAGGTTCAAACCTGACCAGAGCTAACTAAACAACCGCAAAAATAAAAGATAGCTGGGCATTGTGGCAGGTGCCTTTAGTCCCAGCTACTTGGGAGGCTGAGGCAAAAGAATTGCTTAAGCCCAAGAGTTGGAGGTTGCTGTGAGCTGTGACACCATGGTACTATACCTAGGGCAACATAGTGAGACTCTGTCTCAAAAAAAAGAAAGAAAGATGGCTCGGCGCCTATAGCTCAACCGGCTAAGGCGCCAGCCACGTACACCTAAGCTGTCGGGTTCGAATCCCCA